TAAGGCATAAATCACAGCCTACATCTGCCTGAGCAAGAACAGGCTTCGTATTGTAACAGGGTTCCTTACCGGGCATTATCGACTAAAAGGACACCTTAGTAAACTGAGAGTAGTAGAGGATAGTGAGTGCAGATTCTGTGAGAAGGAGGACGAAACCTCCATTCACATTCTAACTGAATGTGTAGTACTCCAGAATCCAAGGGCACCATACCTAGTAGGAGGATATCAAATAGAAAAGAGAGAGAGATTTACCTAAGACGAAGCCACTCCAAATCCTACACTTCCTTGAGAAGATAGGATTGGAAGGGTCGTTATAGGCATTGAGACATTTCCTTGGTGCATTAGCGACAGAAGGGGGCACAATAGATATTTTAGGTTGCAGTGTATTAACACCCCATTCCCAACAACATCTCAAGTGAATGTATATTAGATTTACTTATTATCACGTCTCATAAATAATTTAATTTGTAAATTGTGTGGTAGGAAAATTGTTGGGTTTTATTTATCTGTAGTTAATGAATATTAGTTTTAGTTAACTAGGTACCTGTCACATAATTATTTGATTTTTAAATTATTTGAAAGGAAAATTGTTGGAAACTAAATTATTATTATTATAATCACCCCATTATCCATTATTAATTGTTATTTAACCAAATGAGTACAATAACACAACGTCTCTAAAAAATTGCTTAACGTTGTTTTATTTCTATCTGACAAAATTCATCGAAATTAAGTTTTAAAAGCCAAAATGTTTGAGTTTATCATTCAAAATATTGTGTATTAGAAAACCTTGGCAATATTTTAAAACGGTAATTATTAACTTATCAGTTATTACATAAGTATCGCTTTATTCTAAACTGTTATTATAACATTTGTCTTTGTTTTGTTTTCCAGATCTAACCCAACTATTTAATAAAATGAATTACAGAGGTACCTACCTATTATAAAAATTGTTTTTTTAACCCTACTTTTCCAATTATTAAAAAACAAAAATATTTTGTGCACAAAATTTAATTAACTTAAAAGGGACTAACAATAAACAGATACTTTATTCTATTTTTTATTACATATATAAGCGGTACTCATAATAAATCAATAAAAATAATTTACAAAAGAATCGATATTATTAAAAAATATTAGTACAAAAATTTAGAATTTATAAAACCTATCATTGCAACGTTTATTCAAGTTATTTGTGTATAAAAAAAATGTATGTTTTTAATTTAAAAAATATATGTATTGGTCGACTGAAAAATTCATTATTGACGGTTTTCCATAAACATCTCATATTAGAAACATTGATCCATTGAAATATCTCAAAACTAATAAAATAATATAAATCAAAAGCATTTCTATTGACATTTATTTGATACGCTACTGGATAATAAAAGTAAACAAACCCCGCTCTTCCCCTCCTAACAACTGGCTTGTATATGTTGCTTTCAAACAAACGCAATGTAAATTTTTGACATTCAGTTATCTATTATTATTTATTTATCTGAGGACTGGAGTTCCCAGCTCCTGAGTAGAAATAACATTGGCATTGGTGTTCTTTAGTCACGTGATGTACGATTGCAGTGTAATTGGTTAATTCATGTTGTTTCTCGATTCTCATCAGTCGTCGGTTCTCATTCCTTCCTCGTTCTCGCTCCAACTCTATGCCAACAATAGTGAACATACGTGGTCGCGGTCGCTGGTCGCCATTTTTGGCTATTTGTAGAAAGCTTGATTGTTGCTAACCATTGGTTAAATTTTAATTGACGTCTAGACATTAGACAAGTTTTATCACCATTACTACTCTTACTTTCAATTAAAATGTAATAAAGGGTTAACTTTAATTAAGTTGACAAGGGGGGTAGCCATGTGTGAGTTGAGGTAATTTTAAGGTGAAGGGGGAGAAAAAGTCCTTTATATCTTACAAGGAAAGTCAATGTTTAATTATTTAACAAAACATTGAGTGCGACCGGTTTCGAAGTGTCATCACTTCATCTTCAGGCTCGCCTAGTGGAAAGGAGAATATGTGGTGTAAGGTGTGTTAACACTTAGAGCAAACGATATATAAAATAGTAAAAAAGAGAAAACTCACCATACTCTCCATCCACTAGGGAATACCACAAAACAAGTTTCATCAAATGTGGGGTGAAATAAATTGTAAAATGAACAAAGTTTACAAGTAATAAAAAGTTAAAAATATTTGAAAAACAAATATTAGTCAATTGAAATAGTAAAATTTAAAATATTCAAGACTATAGTCTTGAATATTTGTTTTTCAAATATTTTTAACTTTTTATTACTTGTAAACTCTCTCTCAAAATGTGTCCCTGTGGCATGCATGTCGATTCTAGCTTTTGCTTTATCGCTATTAACTTTCAAACGTTGACGAGCGAATTCGTATACCTTCTCTAATCTTTCTTTTAAGTTCTGTATGTACGTGGGAGAAGTACGCATCTTTTCTTCACCAGGAGACTGCCTTCCAAAAAGAAGATCATGGGGAAGTTTCATCTCCTTTCCGGTTATCATCATGGATGGGGTATAACTGGTCGTTTCATGTTCAGAACTTCGGTAGGCTAGCAGAAATAGAGGAATTAAAGTGTCCCAGTATCGTTCTGTTGTGTCTTTCTACCATTCCGTCGGACTGTGGGTGTAGAGGCGTAGTGCGTGTTTTCCTAATGTCTAACAGTTTCATTAATTCTTGCCATAATTCGGATTCAAAATTTCATCCTTGGTCAGAATGTAATTCCAGGGGGACTCCGTGTCTCGCAATGACGTTCGTCATAAATGCTTCCGCTACTGTCGTCGCTTCCTGATTAGGAATAGGCACTATTTCGGGCCACTTTGACAACCATCAAGTATTTGTTTCCCCTTTCTGTTAAGGGAAGTGGTCTGAGGATAGGAATGGCGATTCGTTCGAAAGGCTCTCCGGAAAGGTACTGTGCCATTTTACCTCTACTTCTCGTTTTGGGCCCTTTTCTGCCATTACAGAGGTTACATTCCTTACACCAATCTTCTACATTCCGTCGGCAATTGACCACATAAAATCTTTCCAGAACTCGTGCAAGTGTCCTTTTAGTACCAAAGTGTCCTCCTGAACGACTGCTATGAAGCTCCTCCAATACATTTCTGACCTGTGATTTCGGCAGAATCACTTGGCGGACTACATGTACTCCATCGGGGCTCTCGCACTTCCGGTGCAATAGGCCATCGTGAAGATACAGGGAATCCCACTGAGTTCAGTACCCTTTAATCGTTCCACTATATTTGGTTATCTCTTGCCATGTAGGTCTGACTCCATTTCTGAGCCATTCTCGGACAATCTTCAAGTCATTTTCTTTCTTTTGAGTCTTTCTTAGGCTATGAGGGGTGATTTCGTCTTCGTCATCCTCTGGCTTGATAGTGGTCGCCTGTAGACTAACTTCTTCAGCCAGCTCCTCTCGTTCTTCAAGCCTTTTACAGTACCGACATTGTCGTTCCAAACAGGGTCGCCTGGATATTATATTATATATTATATTCTCAACATCCATTTTTTTTTATTTATTATCTTAATACACGAATTACCGTACCAAAGCTTGGACTTTTCTTCTCCTATCCAATAACTTTTGTCATCAAAAGAATATTATCATTCATAATAAAGATATTCGTTTTCCTATTTTTAATACTTAACACTCACTCTCAGGGAGAACCAACTAACGAACTGTCACCAACTCTCTTTTCTTCTATATTTTATGTAAAAAGTTCAGACTTAACATTGTAGTAACAAACTAATAAAATTTATATTTTTTGAATTTGTTTTTAAGAAGTTATTTTGGACTTAATCACATCTATTTTTAGTTTCCAAATTAGTCTCTCTATACGGTATAATAACGGCGCAATTTTATATTCACTCGCGGCTGCTAGATGATAGTTGCGTCAGTTTTAAAATAATAACGTTTGCCCCTCCACTTTTGGAAAACAATGACACAATTGACATATTAATCAGTTGTGTCTGCAACTTTAAGGGAGACGTTACTTACTCCATGGTAAACTGTCGTATTTGATATTTAGGACAAGTTCTTTGTGATTTATATGCCCCAATTTGGAAGTAATAATATTTGTTTTTCGTCTATCCTGAAAAATTTATACTTTTGCATTTGCGTCATTGTTTTACTGGAACAGCGAATTTTTTTTTACTTAGTTGCCTGAATGTTTGAAATAGCAATAATATGTATTTGCGCATTATAAATGTAAGCGGTAGACAGTAAGATATAAAAAGATGTATGATTTTTCTTCTATATTTATTTTTCTTTACTTTTGATCGTTTGGCCTTTTTATTATTACTCCTTGCTTTTTTCTTCTAGATCTTTTAAGATTAGATCTAATGACATTTTTTCTAGTTCTCTAATATTTCTTTCCCAATCAAGTGTGAATGAAATTTAATTAATACTGGTCGTGTTCTATATTATTGTTTACAAGGCAGTGTAAATTACCAATATATGTACAATTTTTAAATTAAACAGATAGCTCTCCCGTGATAATTGTTTCGGTTTTGTTCAGTAATTCTTGGGTTGTTTCTTTTGAATTTTCTTCTATTCCATGGAAGATTAAATTTTGACTTTTCATTATTCGTTTCACTATTTCTAGACGTGTTTTAATTTTTTATTTTTGTTTTTAGCTTTTCTATTCTATGGTCAATTTCATTGACTTTAATGGCTATAGCAAAAGTAAATTGTTTAAGCTCAGAATTTGCTTCGTCTATTTTATTAGATAAATCCTCTTGTACTTGTTTAATGAGTTTAGTTAATTGATTTGCCTCAGTCGTTCTACTAGTTTTGTATGCCATTGTATTGTGAATATGATATACCTACTAAATAAACGGTATCTTTAAGATCAATTGTTGCAAAAACATATTATCTTTATAATTTTGAATTTCTGTTTTATTGTCTTCAAATATTACTTTGCATTTATTAAACACCCTGTATATTTGACTTCTTTATAAGCATTTTCTAAAACATGATTCCTTTCAGGCCGATCTAGCCACCGAACATACTAAACTCAAAAAAATCCAGACCGAATGTGAAACCAAATTGGGAGAACCCAAGAACCTCTTCATAAAAATGATAGAAGATGAATATATAGGAGAAACGCAAAAAGCTGGCAAGATGGCGCTTTGCATTATCACCGGCATGGGTATCTTGAATCAAGATGGCGTACTGATAGCAGATAATTTCAAAGTGCACGTGGAACGACTGGTCGAAGATGAAGACAAACGTAAGACGATAATAGATACTTGTGGACAAATCAAGGGAAGTGGACCCGAGGAAAATGCATTGAATTTTGTAAAATGTATGGAGGATAATGTACCTCGCGCTATTGCGAAAGAATTTTTAAAGTAATACAAAATAAACGATGTTTTTGTTTAAATGATATTTTTTGTTGTATGCAAAATAGACTAAGCAAAAAGCGATCGTCATATTTCGTGAAAATTTCTTATATAAGAATTACCTAATGAGCAGATTGTTAAAACAAACACCAGTACTACCACTAGCCAATTTCATATTCAAATTAAAGGGGAGGCAACTTTTTTGAAAATCCGGAACATGTTTTTTTTTTTGTAAAATAATATTATTTTTCTTAACAATCTGGTAAATTTACAACCTCGGATACTCCCTATATACAACATAGCAAATAAGTGAAGTCAAAAAATTGTTTGACGATGTAAAAACAATTAAATATGTATAACTACCTGCAGGGATTTTGCTTTAAAAAAGTATAGATTTGGTCAGCAACCCGTTTATGGACCACCCTGTACGAGTAACACTACCAAAGTTCGCGGAAAATGTAAAGCAAAACACAAATTACGTTATGTAAATCGCTTTATTGCTTCTCAAAATATTCTCCTTTAAAATCTATACACTTTTTCACCCGATGAAACCAATCTTCAAAACAATTTTGCTATTCTGAACGAGGTACCTTCAAAACAAGTAATTTAAATGCTTCAACAGCCTGTTCAGGTGATGAAAAACGCTCGCCACGCATTTTATTTTTAATAAGTCGAAATAGGAAGAAGTCATTGGGTGATAAATCAGGCGAATATGGGCAATGAGTCATTAATTGGATGTTGTTACTGGTCAAAAACTCTACAGTTCGTCGTGCTGTGTGAGCCCTTGCATTGTCATGATGAAGAATGATTCGCCGGTTTATGTTGTTTCTTCTGATTTCAGCGATAACTTCCGGCAAACAAATTGAAGTATACCAGTCAGAGTTAACTGTCCTTCGATCCTCTAATGTAACAGTTGCAACATGACCCGTTTTTCCGAAGAAACAAGCAATCATTCTTTTCGAAACGCTTCGTGAACGCACCACTTTTGTGGGTTTAGGTTCATTTTGGAACACCCATACAGTCGATTGCTATTTAGTTTCAGGCTCATATGAATATATCCAAGATTTGTCACCTGTTACGATGTTATATACCGAATTTGAACGACCCCCTTCGAATTTGTTTAGCATTTCATTGCACCACTTGACACGTGCCTGTTTTTGTTCTTCTTTCAAATTGTGTAGGATCCAACGACTGCAAAGCTTCCTGACATGCAAATGATCGTGCAAAATCGTATGTATTTGTTTCGCTGCAATGCCTAAGGATGCCTCTATCCCACGTCACATGTCGATCTGACAAAATCATTTCACGCAGAGGATCAATATTTTTCGCGACAACAGAGGTACATGGACGACCTTCGCGAAGATCGTCATCAAACGTTGGTCTTCCACGCCTGAATTCTGCGAACCATTTGTAAACCATAGTTTTGGATGGTACTTCATCCCCAAATAATGAACTAAGTTTTTCCACACATTGCTGCGGTGTTAAACCGTATCGAAAATCATAAAAAATCATCACTAGGAAGTCACGATTCGAAATTTCCATTTTTCACACAATTATTACTCTTGTTAAATTTTGTTGAAACGAAACCGAGCAGTTTTAAATCGAACTGTCAACTGGATGATAGGTGAAAAACGTCAAATTTTACGAATATGACAATCGCAGAACGCTGGCAATACAAGGAGTACTTGATTCCGCGAACTTTAGCAGTGGCCCTCGTATATTTAAGAATAATTGTTAAATATGATCATACCACTTTCACAAGAATAAATAATAACCAGAAGGTCTTGTGACCTTCAAGCACACCTACATCGATATTCTACACCGAAACTTTCAGTGCAGTAGGTAGCGACTGGCACGGGCGGTGGTATCGAAATCGTGAATTTATAATTATTATTATTCTGTTGTTTCTGTTATCTTGCCCAAATATTTTTATCGTTGACTATTTTTTGATTTTGTTGTGCTTTAATGACAGTGTGAGTTATGGAAGAAGACAAAAAAGCTGGATTTGTTTGTAGTTATAAAGACGGCAAAAATAAATCTTATATCGGTGCTCATTCATTTTACCACATACTTTGATTACTATACGAGGCAAGAGAGAGGTCCGACACGCCCAACCATTGATAAGGCAACGTAAGGATACGTCATATGTATTATTTTTGATATACAAAAGTGGGACCGGTAGGCGTGGCTTTTGCACTCACTAAAAAGAGCAGAACCGGATTTACAAGTTTTTATTGTACTATTTCTGGTTAAATATAATTATTTGAACTATAAAAAAATAAATTTCCTTTTTATTGACATTGACTTAAAAGGTAGTGGAAGGGCGAGGTTATAAAAGAAGGGGGTTTAAAAGCTTAAATATGCCCGGTTTTCGGCCGAAAGGTGCTGAATAAAGTAAATGAAAGAAATAAAATATAACTGATTTAATTATCACTCAAGTGGCTATTAAGCGCTGGAGAATATATTATTTGCAAAATTGCAACAAATCAATGACCATGAAATAACTAACTTGGGGCCGATTCCACCATTGGGTTTAACGAAGTTTAAAATGACATTTTTACATAAAATGTAATTTTAATCCTCCATTAATAGTTTAAACTTTAACACATTGGTGGAATTAACCCTAAAGCGTTGAAATCATTCACAGAAAAAATAAATACTACATTTTTGGTTCACATAAGCGACAAAAGTAAACAGAGTTCGATTTATTGGATCAGTCCTCACACGTTTGCACTAGGGCACATAAATAGCCCAATCTTTAGTTTTTCTATGAGCCCAATGCTTTCTGTCTTTAAATCAGAAATATGGAGGGTAGAGGAAAGGAGAACAATCTCTGCATACAAAAAGTGTCCCTCAAAATGTATACAATTAAGATGGCGCTTCTGTGCCCAGGGGACGTCGACAGTCGATAATTCAGATCACACAATGACACCAATGATGTATATAGTAATAAATATTGCTCAACCATAAAAAATCAAAAACTACACCGTGAAAAGTGACTGATCGTAGAAGAGTAAGTGTTCTGTGATCGTACATAAATTTTGACAATACACGACAATAGTCAAATTTTATTGAAAAATAATAATATAAACAATAAATAATTCTTATGAATGAGCAATCTATATGACTATATATTATTGGATTTTGTCCCCTGGCTACACGAGCGCCATCTTAATTGTATACATTTTGGTGGCCACTTTTTAATACAAAGATCCATATAAGATTGTCCTCCTTTTTTCTACCCTCCATAATCAGAAAGTACAAGGTCGCAAATGTCAATTAATCTAACCTTACTTTAATTAACAGCTTTCTCGAAATTAAGAACAAATGTTCATACTCATACTAAAAGCCGAGAATAGTATTCTCGGCTAAAAGCTCGATAATCAGATACGAAACTTAATGCAAGGCTCTCGGAAAATGGCTTATAAGCAATCTCTGTGTAGGTAGATACACTATTCAGGAAATTAAAATGTGGATTAATCTTACTTGGTCTTGGTACTTTTGTAGATTCAGACTGAAAGGTGTATATCTTCATGCAAGACATTCAGTAAATCAGCGAAGCCACAACCAGCGGTGTGCAGGTGCACTTCTAACAAATGTAAAATATAAAGTGATTTTACTTGAGACCTAGGTATAGATCCAATGACGATATTATATTATGATAGCACTCGTGGTATTATTACTAAATAAACAGGTCAATAACATTTTAATATCAACAAAATTAAATATAATTATGAATTTATAATGTTTAAATGTTAAAGTGTTTTAAAAACTATTTTTTAACTGACTTTATTAGTGTTCAAATTCGTACTACAGAAAATACTTTTTTATTTTTGAATGGAGGTATATTATTTATGTATGGGCCAGAGCCCATTAAAACAATACAATAATACATATTACAGTTATTAAATAATAATAAAATCCTAAATAATAATAGGTAAATTAATTAAAAATATGTACATATTAATTATTAATAATAATTAATGGAAAATCTAAACAACTACTAAATTCTGTGGGAGAGATATTTTAAGTCGCTTAGCAGATATTATTCTAGGAATAAAAGAATGAGAAGCACCATCTTAATGCATTGTTCGATATTCATTTATTCTTGAGGATACAGCACAAACACATTTCGAAAATATTACATTGAAACATTTCTGAAATGTGCCTGGAACGAAAAAATATCCTGTAAATATAATATTTCACAGTAATATTTCTGAAATAAAAATTAGAAATCTTTTAGAGATATTAAATAGTAATATTTCAGAAATTCTAGCTTTTTTTAAATATTATTAGACTAAAAAAAGACATATAAATATACATGTCTATTTAAAATACACAAAATTCAAACATTGATTCTTAAAACAAACAAATAAATAAATTTTAAACATTATTTCATAAAATATAAAGGCGAATCACTTCATTTCCAAGTCCTTTAAATGCACTAATTTGAAACAGTTTTTTTTTAAATGCCCCAAGTAAAGAAACATTTACGATTATTACAACCTAATCATTAAGATCAATTAGAAATTTTATTCTAACTTATCAAGGGATGAAAAAATTCACAAACCGATATTCTACTCTCTAATATACCTTAGAGTCTAAATCACTTGACTGCACTATACTCTGCTTTAACATCACTGAACTAACTCAAAAGGCTTGCTTCTCTTGAGTCTTCTTATTAGATTGGCATTGTTGAGGAGCTGGATATTCTCGAGGTTTCCATGTTGGAGCAGTCGTTGGTGGCAAATGTTTGTATTGTATTTTCAACAGTCTCCACTTTAAGGTTCCTATGAAGATCAGTATTGTGGCAGTACCATGTTCCTTAATACTTTATTCTGGAAACGTTGAATAACTTCGATGTCACTTTTACTGGCACATCCCCAAAGCTGGCGAATCGCGCCGAACTGAAATATCGAGGGATGAGCTAAGAAGAGGTGGTGAAAAACAAGCAGATCGTTCCTTATTGTGGTTATCTGCCATATAGAGATTGGACAAAATTTATTTTAAGTT